TAATACATCATATTTTCACTTCATTTTCTTAAGTTTTGTTAATTGTGTCTGCAAGTTTACTATCCTGATAAGATATATGTACTCCTTGTTATGATTTCCAAGCATAGAAACTTGAAACTTATCCCGAGTCGGTTTTCTGAATCATTTAACCCGTCACCCGGAACATTGATACGTTTCGCATTTGCACCGTTTTAGAAATTTGCTCGTATCTTGACACTCATTCAACCAAATTATACTAAATTTTTTTCAATTTAAAGGTCTTTGTGGACGATGTGGTATATTGTCAAACGAAAAACGTGTTGTCTTCATGAAGTCCAATCAGGAAAGAAAAAAATATCAAATTTTATTTGTCTTAATGAGAATGATTACAATGCAATAAACTATTTACCACCATTAAAATGGACTATTTAATAATAATAATAGATTGGCGCTTACACATTAGTGTTTGGCCGAGCTTCTCCTCCGATTTGTGGTGTGCGCCTTGATGTTGTCACACAAAGCGAAAGGACCTACAGTTTTACGCCGACTCCGAACGGCGATTGTATTTTTATGAAAAGACGTTTTTCATGGCAGAAATACACTCGGAGGTTTGCCATTGTGTGCCGAAGGACGACCGCTGTTAAGAAAAAACATTTTTCTATATTTTTTTCGATGTTGCTTTGACCAGGGTTTGAACCCAGGTGCTGATGAGTGAAAGCGCGCCCTGCTTACCACTACACCAAAGCGGCCGCCATGGACTATTTACCACCATTAAAATGCAGCGCCACTTGCGGCCGGGTAAAATACTAAAATTTAGGCTAAGTTATTTTTAGCGAAAGGAAGGACAGAACCGAAATTTTTGGGGATAGCCAAAAATTCGGATAAAATGTTAGCTTTCGCATTTTAGCATATTTTAGCGATAGCGGAAGTTAGAATCCGGCTGCTGGTCGACACAGTTGGTTTTGATTTCTAAAACAACTTCATCAGTAAGAAACGGGATAATAATTCCATAATTTTCGTCTTTGTTTGATAAATAATTGCAAAAAATACGCGTTTTTCTTCTAAGAGTTTCATGAAACTTTCACAGATATGAGCAGCACCAAAATTTGTTTTTTCAACATGGTTGACAACCGAAGAAAGCCTTTCTTTCTTTGAACATCCAATCAGCCAAACTACAAACATCTCGCCTTTTGTAATAGCATGATAGCCCAGAAAAAACTGTTTTTCTTGAAAATGACTTAAAACGGCGGCTTAAGTAAAATAAGATCAACTCACTACATCCCAGTTTATCCATTTCCATTTCCATTTTGTGTGCCGAAAGTTAACAAAATTGTAAAAGCTTACATTAAATCATAAATGGAAATACATCCGAAAAATTTTGAGGTTATGCAAATAAGTCAGTTTGTTTTGCAAAAAAATTATAAAGTCACCTATATTTTTGTTTTCCATTCAACATTTTCCTTTAATTATTCGAACTTTATAAAAAAATGCACTTTAAAATTAAGAAATAAACCGGTGCGCAAACAACGTGTCAATAACGTTTTAAAAGTATAACTTTGTTTGATTGCTGTCTAATGGTGATTTTTATTTTACAAAAACAAAGTGAAGTTCCTGTTATTTTGGAGTATTCCCTACAGAATGGCATCAAAAAATAATGTAAAACTGCGTTTACGAAATTGGACTTTCGCACAGCCAAATTAATCATTTGACCTAATGTGCATCGGCCGTACAAACGGATACTTTGTGTTACCGAAAGTTCTGCTTTCTACACATTTCCTCAACTAATTAGCCCTCTATACAGGAAACCTGTGCTCCACTATCAAGGAACAATTCTCACCCAATATTTCCACTTCCATAAGACTTATGTTTAATTATGTTATGTTTGATTGAACATATAAAGTTGCTTAAAATTGTCCTGTTTGACCTCAGTTTTTTCGAAAAGTGTTTTATGCGATTAGAAGAACGTTGCGATTTGTAACAATGCTATCTTTTTCTTTCTCAAAAATTCTGGAACGTATTTTGCTGTAATTACGTAGGCGAGCATCATAGGGTATTATGTTTGTTAAAAGCGGAGTTTTCTGAGTATTCGGTGCATCGTGGCGCGTTATAAACTTTTTATGTCTTGTGTTTTGTGTGTAGCCAGGATTCTGGTGGAGAACCTCGCTCTTCTGTAAGTTTTCCGACCTACATTTAGTGCATTTGGGCTTGTATATTCCCGGAGAACCACAGTCGTAGCAAAATATTTTTCTATCTGCAAGACAGCTGAAAAATCTGCGGCCTTCCGCGCTACAATTCCAGCACACTAAATTAGTCTTGTTTGTATTTTTATGTATGTCATCGATCTCAACTACATACTTCGTCTACTTACTCTATGATACCGGCATTGTCGTATAGTTCGTTTATGTGATGACGGGGCAACTGCTGCTAATTTTGGGGTGGTACTGTGGGCACAATTGATTTTGAGATTTCGTTTAAAAGATTTTCGCCTTTCAGGCACATTTTACGCAGTTATACAAGTGAGGTTACGGGTATGTATAGTAGCTGTCGAATGAGAGAACGCAAATTTCTCTGAAGGATTTCAACGAGCTCTAACTGAGGTAAAGGTATTTGTAAACCCTCAGCCAATTTCAAGATGGCATTCCGGAAATCGTCTAAACTTTCGTTAAGTCCTTGCTTTCTAGCTCGAATTAACTTTTTAATTTCCTTATCCGTTCTGTGTTCTTGGAAATTTGTGCGACGTGTTTGACATAATGTTGGCCATTTCACAAGCTCGGCAGAGCGCCGGTAATGCCAATAACACCAAAGGTGTCTATTACCTGCGATTCTATTCGGCAAAGGAAGTTATCTACCGATAATTTGGAAGACCCGTCAAATTTTATGTCCCAACATGCTATAAGCTGAGCTATCCTGCCTGAGCTCGGAACGCTCGAAATTTGACTAAATATGAATTGGTCTCTTTGCTGTGAAAACTATCGGGGTCATTATGGATATCGCGATCCCAAAACGGCGTCGAGTTCACAGGACATCATCAGTTTCGGTATAAATATCACGACAAATCGTACATAGGTTAGCTGACAACAAGTTTTCATTGCTTCGGCGTACAGACATTGTGGTCAGTAGATCTAAATGCTTTAATCTAAAACAAAAATTCGCATACCAAAAAAAAAAAAAAATATTAAAAAAAGTCCAGTTCTGTCTAGTCGATCAAAAAAATTTCAACAAATAAAAAAATATCCGCTATAAAACGTTTAAAACACGACATACATTTTGTTCTACTCCTCATAGATTTGTTGGCGGTATAAAAAAGTGACTGTTTGGTTTGGACAATATAGGCTCGAACTTTGGTTATAAGCTCAAAACATTTATAAAATTCCAAAGCTATATGAGTCTTCGTACTTTTTTTCCACAGCTATCTAGAAAAAGGACTTAAAATGTTTAGTCAAAAACTGGTCGCTTGAACTTTTGTTTGCATAAACTTAATCTTTGGTTAGAAACCGAGCGTAAAGCCTGACTATACCACAGTTCCAAAGGAGTTGTTTATGCTTCAACCCGAAGCTTAAAATTTCTACAACTTGATAGATGGTTTGAATTGCACTCCTACCAGTGGTCGATTCTGATATGTATACAGCATTCAAAAAGAAACTGTTCCAATGCTGGTATTGATACAATGAAAGCAAATACTGGATGACATATTTTAATACAAGACGTGGTCAGATACTAAAGCATATAGCAACTATAACGTTCTGATTTCCAACAATATCTAAATTAAAGCAGATAATAATAATCAGACGGACGAATCGGATGTATTCCATGACGGAACTTAGGCCCAAAAGTTTCCTCTTTCGAAAGTAGTGTCTCATTCGCTACGGCGTGTGCACTGGAAATGGCCCGCTGCTTCAGTTGCGTGGGTTCATAAACATAGCGCCAGAGACTAGAAAGGAGGGGAGGCACAACGAAATAAAAGAAATTGCACACTGAACGGACCAAACAAACTACATGGTTTCTATAATAGCTGGCTCCTGTACATTAGACTGACCCAATTTTACCCAATGTCATTATTTTTTGAGGCTGACAGCTTAAAACTTTGGAATACTTTTAGAAGCTCAACTGACACAGTCTAGTTGCGAAATTCAAATATTAACCCGATTTGAGTCTCCGTTTTGTACAATTTTTAGCTCAAATATTTAAGAGCATGTTCAAGGAGATGGAAAGGGTAGATTTTGTGGAAAATTTACGCACTAATAGCCCAAATATATGTTTTCGGTGTCGCTAAACACGATGGGACCATTTATTTCTCTCTACAATAAAAAATTATTGAGAAATTCAAGAAAATCTTAAAAAAAAGGAGAAAAAATATAAAATTTTAACTTTTATTTCTTAAAATTTATTATCTAGAATTTGTTTTTATCAACCTAAAATACTCAACCAAAGATCGTAGGAAACTCAAAGAGCTTTAAATGAAAAAAACTCCGTACAATTTGGTTGAATCGGTGTCAAGATACGAGCAAATTTCTAAAACGGTGTTATCTTTGTAACATTTTTTATTTCGGTCAAATATGTCTTCGGCGTGTACAGGCTTTTAACTTTTCGTCATTTTAGATTTAAAAAATTTATTTTCATCATACCGTATGGATCCCGAATATATCGTTGCGAAAAGCTGAAGACAGTTCAGTCTTCTACTTCGACCCTGTCGGACATCTCCAATTTTTTTTATATCCAACTTGCCTTAGGGTAATGTAATTAAATATGATCTCGAAAATACGATCCCACAACAGCAATGGAGAATTGTAAATCTGTCAGAAACCACGAACGGAACACTCACTTAAAGCGAAGACGTGTACCAGAATTTAATACATTCTGTAAATTATAATATGAAATTGTTACCTTTTTGTTCCAAAAATAAAGTTCTAGAAACTTAAGAGTGTTAGAAAGGCTGAAAACAATGGTAAAAATATTCACAGTATACTGTTTGAGAAGATGCATATGTATCGAATGAATCTTAATACATCATATTTTCACTTCATTTTCTTAAGTTTTGTTAATTGTGTCTGCAAGTTTACTATCCTGATAAGATATATGTACTCCTTGTTATGATTTCCAAGCATAGAAACTTGAAACTTATCCCGAGTCGGTTTTCTGAATCATTTAACCCGTCACCCGGAACATTGATACGTTTCGCATTTGCACCGTTTTAGAAATTTGCTCGTATCTTGACACTCATTCAACCAAATTATACTAAATTTTTTTCAATTTAAAGGTCTTTGTGGACGATGTGGTATATTGTCAAACGAAAAACGTGTTGTCTTCATGAAGTCCAATCAGGAAAGAAAAAAATATCAAATTTTATTTGTCTTAATGAGAATGATTACAATGCAATAAACTATTTACCACCATTAAAATGGACTATTTAATAATAATAATAGATTGGCGCTTACACATTAGTGTTTGGCCGAGCTTCTCCTCCGATTTGTGGTGTGCGCCTTGATGTTGTCACACAAAGCGAAAGGACCTACAGTTTTACGCCGACTCCGAACGGCGATTGTATTTTTATGAAAAGACGTTTTTCATGGCAGAAATACACTCGGAGGTTTGCCATTGTGTGCCGAAGGACGACCGCTGTTAAGAAAAAACATTTTTCTATATTTTTTTCGATGTTGCTTTGACCAGGGTTTGAACCCAGGTGCTGATGAGTGAAAGCGCGCCCTGCTTACCACTACACCAAAGCGGCCGCCATGGACTATTTACCACCATTAAAATGCAGCGCCACTTGCGGCCGGGTAAAATACTAAAATTTAGGCTAAGTTATTTTTAGCGAAAGGAAGGACAGAACCGAAATTTTTGGGGATAGCCAAAAATTCGGATAAAATGTTAGCTTTCGCATTTTAGCATATTTTAGCGATAGCGGAAGTTAGAATCCGGCTGCTGGTCGACACAGTTGGTTTTGATTTCTAAAACAACTTCATCAGTAAGAAACGGGATAATAATTCCATAATTTTCGTCTTTGTTTGATAAATAATTGCAAAAAATACGCGTTTTTCTTCTAAGAGTTTCATGAAACTTTCACAGATATGA